GATCTAGCTTCAATAGATTCATACTTTCAACTATGAAAATATATGTTTGTTTTACTACCCCTCGACTCTTTTGCATATTATTTTATACTACTTATTTATATTCAGTAAATGATTGTATACCTAGCAATTTCTACGCTCATGTCGTAACTCGATTTCGTTGTGTAATATCCTAAAATACTTACGTATACTCGTAACACTTATTGTATTTATCATTATAATTACTTAAACTCAATCATTGTATTAGTTACTCGCAAGTTTGTGAAATCGTTTAATCCTTGTTTAAACGCACCAGTTTTCATACTGCTCACCCTTAGTTCAATGTTTGCTTGTAGGTAAACCGTTATCAAGTTTAGACACAGACAACGGTTATAATTTTACACTATTGTAGACTTTTTATTCCGAAAAAAAGACACAGTAAACGTCAAAGGTACCTCACATGTTGAGGTTTGTAACTAATTGTTGTATATTATTCAATAAACAAACGCTATTTTAGACAAATCATTGTTTTGTGAACTTCCATTTTGTGCGTATCTCAATTGTGTGATTCGAGTGCTTCGTTATACTTTACAAGTAGACAGTTACTAAGTTGTGTTTATTGAATCTGAAATTCCGTAAGTTAAGCAGTCACATTCCTGGAGAATAAATTCAGTAGACAAAATATCTACAAAAGTGGTTCACCCTGTTAGACAGGATGATGGCCTTTACAAATCGGGTGACCAAAATTTACACAATGGAACGTCTTGATTTCTCATAAACGTAATCGTATTCAGACGTATGACAAAACGAATAACATAGCTCTAGGAAAGCATGTCTTTTGCATCTGTACTTTTCCTTTCAGTAGACAGGTGGGAATTCCCCTCAAAGCAGATGGAACCGGTGTATAAGATATCTTCCATGATTCGTCAAATGCTTTCCATCCAGTATCTAACCCTTTCTTCGTAGTGAAAGTTGCGCTTATATGTTATCAAGTTTAGACACAGACAACAGCTGTTATTTCTCACTATCGGAGCTCTTTGGTTTCAAACAAAAAGACGCTGTAAACTCCATAGACGCCTCAGAAGTTGAGGTTTGTAACTAGTTTTTGTATAATATTCAATAAAGAAACGCTATTTTAGACAAATCATTGTTTTGTGAACTTCGATTTTGCACGTATCTCAAATGGATGATTTGGACTCTTTGATAGACTTAACAATATATTTGATTTATTTGATTATTCCTACAAAAGAAAATAGAGATACCGATTCCAGGAAATAACATGACGGAACTTCTGTTAAAATTTACTATGAATATCTAGTTAATGTTTAACAATGAATTTTACAGACAAATAGGTGGGATAGCAATGGGATAACCCCAAGGTCCAATCCTTGCTAACGTTTCTCTTGTCAAAGTAGAAAATGGATCGTTAAAAGACATCTTAAATGAGCTAGATTATTACTGCCGATACATAGATGACACACTAATAGTGGGTGACGAAAATATTGACAAACAAGAGATGGTGGACTTTTCCAACAACGTTCACCCAGCTATTAAATTCACTAGCGAAAAGGAAAACGACAATAGTGTAGCTTTCCTTGATGTTTTACTTCTTAAAAGGATAGATGATTCTATTAAACGAAGTATATTTAAAGAGAATATATGGACTGGTCAGTATACTTATTACAATAGCTTTACACCACTTCAATACAAAATAAATTTGGTTAAATATCTCATCCACAAAATCAAACTATTATGGTAAGCAGAGATGGATAGTGGCTAGCAGTGGAATGCAGGACGCGTGTTTCATCCTATTTGGGACTCGTCAGCTGGATGTACCTGCATCTCAGAGTTGATGTCCACTCTGGGACTCGAACCCAGTCCACTCGGCCACTGAGTCCTGATAGCCAGTTGCTTGTGTTTGTGCCAAACTATTATGTTCTGAAGACAGTGTAGATAGAGAAATAGATACACTGAAGAAAATATTACGAAATAACGGCTATTCAGATAATTTCGTTAAAAAATTCCCATTAGGAAGTAATAATAAAAAAGCTTACAGTAAAGAAAATACAGTAATAGAAAATTACGGTGATCTACTAATTCATTATACAGTGAAATTCTAGTTAACAATAAGTCTGAATGTTCCAATTACTCCAAGATGTAGGAACATAAGAAATGATTCAATGAATGTTGTGATAATAGCTAACAACCAGTGATGATAACTGTTTTAATGAAATAATAATAAACGATAAATAAGCATAAGAAATAGAAAATAAGGTAATCAGATGTATTTCCCTACGCCTGTTATCCTCCCCCTCCCACACTCATCGAGGAACACAGTTCAACCAGCAGAAGTCTTAATTCAACTTTAGCATGGATAATCCTTTCAAGTTGTTTCCAGTTGATATTTATTCTTTTCATATTTCCTTTCAATTAACGACACAATTTGTTTGTTGTGTCTCTAACGACGACTAATTATCACGTGATTTATTCGTCAATCGAAATACGAGTTATACAATCTTATTCCTGTTTTTAATGGAGTTTTGTTCTCTGAACTGAATGGTTTGGTCGTGGAGCTTTCATTGTTCTTCTGAACGACATAATCAGCACAAACTACGGATGAAAGTGAAGTGTTGGAATTTCTCCACCTTAGTACTATGCTGAACCAATGAAATTCTACCGGTATGAGCAGCCTAGCGTTCTCATTGGTACTTTGTACGCCTAGCCCTACCAGTTGAGTCCATAACATTACTACCAGATTATACTATACAAATTACTGATTGTAAACATGTCTGGTTTATATACAACCGAACCATATCACATTACATCACAAAATAGAAAATAACATTCATACAAGATCAAGCCAAAATGTGGCTGTGAAAGTGGGACACTGTAATCAATAAATTGAACATAACTTAAGAACAGTAAGTCGTATAATAATAATCTATAGGTCAAAATGAAGCTTATTATAAGGAGGAATATAGATGTACATAATCTAGTTACTGAGTAGTTATACAATAAGAATATACATATAATATTAGTCTATTAATAGTCCTCGGAATTTATCCGTAATTTAATCTTCACTAGGATATAACAGTGTTCTTTGTGTCTCCTTTGAGGATTGCAAGTTATTACTTTCCTCTTGATTCAGTTTGATGATTTCCACAATGTAATTCTTATCCTTTTGCAACGTCTTTTCCTAAATTCCTCTTCTATTGGAAGTTGGTTTGTTCTCTCTCGTAGTAGGCTGTTATTGGTGATATCCAGTCAACGGACATTCAGTATCTTACGGAGATAATTATTTATAAATAATTGTACCATTTTGATCATAGTTACGGTAGTTCTCCACGTTGGAGCTCCATATAGTAGAACTATCTTCACGTTCATAGTGAAGATTGTGATTTTGATGTTGATTGACAGTTGTTTTAAGTCCCATATGTTATTCGATTATAGGAATGCTGTCCTTACTTTTCCAATCCTTGCATTCATATATATTTATATGATACCTTACCGACGTTTACTGTTTAAAACTCACATTTAATAATAGTAACGAACTACTATTCATCTCTATATGAACTGCTAGAAGACTTTCACTGAATGTGGAGTCTTCTGATCTCAATGATCATCAAAAAAAAGTATGTTGGTGATAAGTTTTCCATGGTCATCTAGCTTCAATTGATTCATGATCTCAACTATTAAAAATTATACGTTTAAAACAAGTTTAGACTCTAATCGAGCCACTTTTATAGGAAACAACCTTTTGTAAGACCTGTTCTGAATAACACTTCATAAATGATACTCTTATTTTATGCTTCTAAGATTAAAGAGAGGAATACAACCATTCACCAATGTCTTCAGTGAGTTGATATCTTTCAATAGACCTAGTTGAACTCATGATTAACTTATGATCTTAATTGTAAGGATGGCTCGTTGGTAAACTCTAGGAAGCCTCAAGAAGGTTAGAAAGAGCCGAAAACATTCCATCCAATTACTGCTAGGGGAATATTCTAGAATGTCGACGTATAGCTTCCCCATTGGATGGATAAGAATGATCCCCTATGTGCCTATTGGTTGTTCAAAATGATGATTTACTCTCAGTCAAAAAAAACTATAAATACATGAGATTTCTGTACTACACTGTTTTGGGGAATAAAATTTCCTACTTACTAGTCTTCTGTTTTCTCTATTGCGACGTTGCGGGTTCTATCGTCCAAATAGTCTACTAGTAGGCGGCATTGTAAGAATCAAAGTTCTAGATATAACAGCAACTATATAAAATTACTATGATCTCCACAACCCCCCCCCTTCCGACAAAGAGAGTAACAAACAAAATGTTATGAGAATTAGAGTGTAATTTTAAATATTCAGAAAAGATGTTGACAACAGACCCCTTTTAGAATAACAACTGAATAGAAGTGAATACTTCTTTGACTTCAAAAAAAAAGAAGAAAAAAAGAAGAAAAAACACCACACATCTCCTCATCACTTCAAACAGATAAAAAGGGGGAATGTATAAATGTAAGTTTATCTATGTTATTTTAAACAATGAAAGAAAAGACATCTTTTACTACAACAATCATCACCTGATAAACAGAACAAACCAAAAGCTATACAATCTACACATTTTCCATGGAATATTCGATCAAGTTTACATACAAGACTACCGCAACATGGACTAGCTACAGTTTTTGAACATTCTTGACCTTTTTCTTTACAGTTTGAACCTGAAAATTCTAATGAATAATAGAATAAACATAAAATGATGAATTATGCTACTTGTATAAACAGATATAAGTAGTATGTAACACTAATCAGAAGTAAAATGGATAGTCAGTCGGTCAGTCAGCTACAACGTAGGATCAGGTACATTTATGCATCGGTCCAAGTTGTCATACCTCACTCATTAGCACAATAAGATGAACACCGGATTTATAGAATTAGTCAATTTAGTGGTGATAATACATAAAAGAAAGATTGTATATAAGGATATAGTAAAGGAAGAAAGACAGATATGAAGCAATTTTAATCTTAAGGTTTAAGGAAAGATAAAGAGTGTATACACCAACGCCATTGTGATCGTTTATGAGCCATGTCACCTAGAGTCTCTAACCATTGGTAGCAGAAGATTAAGAAGAGATTAAGAATGTAAATAGAGATTTATCATACAGATGAAAGATGATGTATTATGAATGTAGATCAGAGGGGGTTTTGTGGAGAATTTAGTATTTTCACAGTTGAAATCATGAGTCAATTGAAGCTAGACCACCATCGAAAACCTGGAAGCACTGGACGGCAGTACTTCCAGGTTTTCGATGGTGGTCTAGCTTCAATTGACTCATGATTTCAACTGTGAAAGTATTATGAATGCTTAGAATATAGATTATCATTGATTTTATCATACTTCATGTATATCCAAGATTTGATTTAACCAAAGTAATCACTAGTAGGAAGTAACCTATTAACATCTCTTTAAAAATAAAAAAAATTATGTATAATATACTGTTCTGAAGTGTAAAGAATGTTATAACTTATTATGTTGTGCCCTATTAATATATAATGTAATGATACCACCAATTAGGGAACAATGATTTATCGACCAGACCAATGACGCGTAAACCGTTAAGTTCTTATCAGTCCTTGATTCCTCCTTAAGCCTTCCTGTCACAGTCCAGAATACAAATCTCATCGTCCGCGATATGTATCATATATTTCATGAGTGAGTTGAAGCTAGACCATCATGGAAAACCTGGAAGCATTGAACAGCCATTTCGTCCTATTGTGGGACTTCTCAGCAGTGCGCACCCACGATCCCACCTCGCGTGCGAGCGCTTGCGCCTAACCTATAGACAACTGAGACGGCGTCCAACGGTGTTAACGTCTAACTTCAATCAATCCACGAAACTGAGAAACCGTCCACCATTGTCTACAGTGAGTTGATATCTCACAACAGAGGTTAAGCGCTCGCGTGCGAGACTGATAGATCCCGTGAGGCGGGATCTTAGATGCGCACTGCCGAGGAGTTCCATATTAGGATGAAACGGCCGTCCAGTGTTTCCAGGTTTTCCATCACGGTCTAGCGTCAATTGACTGGGCATAACAACAATCATAACAATAAAATGACAGAAAATTTATCATTTCTATTATATAATAACAGATTGATAACATACCCATCTTTGTAATGAATATTGATAAGATGAATAATGAGAATAAGAACGATTTGCACATAACTGACATTGTATAACACTAAAGTATACCAAATATCTTTATATTATTTAATTCTTAGTCTAACTTTATATATATATATATACAGATTCGATTGAATATGAGTAGGGGGTAAGGTGTGGGAGTGGATGTAGGGGTGATGATGGGGGGTGGTGGTGGTGACGGGGGGTGTTACATCATATTATTTTTACATGATATTTTAAGGAAAGAGAGAAAAAAAGGGTTTCATTAAAAAATTTTTTTACTTGAATATCAATAGTTATCATGGTTACATGAGGACTTTGACCTAAATTCAAAATAAAATATGATACATGTAATTATAACTACATATTTAAAAACAATAAAATGTTTTCAGAGATGGATAGTGGCTAGCAGTGGAATCCAGGACGCGCGTTTCGTCCTATTTGGAACTCGTCAGCTGGATGTACCTGCATCTAAGTTGATGTTCACTATGGGACACGAACCCAGTACCCTCGCTTCAAACGCCATCGCGTAATCCACTCGGCCACTGAGAATTCATACCTCGCCGTATCCCATGGACATCCGCCGTCAGTGGTAAGGTCTCAACTAACACGGAGCTAATACAAAAAAGTCGTGTGACAGCATCAAGCAGTTTTCTTTTGAGCACTGAGGTTAAGCTCTCAGCCTAATAAAATCAGCTCTAATCCAAATTCATTTGCAGGTACCTCTAGAAGAACCCTTACACAATGTGAGCAACCTAGAAGTGATAACAGCCCTCATACCTCTAACAGTACAAAATAGATGTAAATTAATTATCAGAAGGGGTTTTGTGGAGATTTAGTATTTTCATAGTTGAAAGCGTGAGTCAATTGAAGCTAGACTACCATGGAAAACCTGGAAGCACTGCTTGACGGCCGTTTCGTTCTATTATGGGACTCCTCAGTGGCAGTGCACATCCACGACCTCACCCCACGAGATTCGAACTCAGGACCTATCAGTTTCGCGCCAGAGCATTTAACCGATAGATCATTGAACTGGCCGGCATCTAATGGTGTTAATGTCTAACTTCAACCAATCCACGAAGATTGAGCAACCGTTTACCAATTGTCTTCAGTGAGTTGTTATCTCACAACAGACATGGTTTGAACTCCACTGGTCACTGCTTCTCACTAGAACTCCTGGATGTAGTTCTCGAAGTCAGTCACTAGTGAGCATATGATTATATTAATTATCAGAGGGGGTTTTGTGGAGATTTATTATTCAGAGAAATTATTAGAAAGGGGGGTTCATGGAGATCGTGTTGATTTTAGTGAAGATGAATTCATGAGTAAATGTAAGGTAGACAACTATTGAGGAAGTGTAATCACTGGACGGCTGTTTTATCATAGTATGAGACTTTTCAGCAATTCTGATCCACGATCCTGCAAGCGGGATTCAAACCCAGGACCTTCGATCTCTCTTGGGGACGCTTAACCTATGAACCGCTGAGCCATCATGTAATGATGTTAATCTCTTACTTCCATTGATCCATGGTCTTGTGCAACTATTCATCCATTGCCTAAAGTAGATAACTGTTCTACCCTACACGGATCGGACTCCATTGGTCATGGTCCAGTGCTTCCAAATTTTTAATGGTTATCTAGCTTACATTGACTAGTGAATTCATTTATTCAGAACTAGTCTCAATTCATCTTTCATATCTATCTGTTCATCTATAATTTTTACCTTCTTTCATGTAACAAGTAATATCAGTTTCTTGATTAATCACAGAATGACAGAAATTTTAAGCATCACTTGAAAATTATTGGATAATCCATTTATCAAAAGGAGATTTTGTGAAAATTTTAGTAATTTTATATAGTTGAGATCATGTGTCAATTGAAGCTAGACCACTATGGAAAACCTGGAAGCACTGGACGGCCGTTTTGTCCTACTGTGGGATTCCTCAGCAGTGCACATTCACGGTCCCGACTCGCGAGATTCGATCACATGACCTATCGGTTTCGTGCGAGAGCACTTAACCGATAGACCACTGAGTCGGCATGGTGGTCTAGCTTCAATTGACTCATGATCTCAACTATGTATAACCCATTTAGTCCTTTTTTCATTTCTATTTGTTGCAATACATTTTCATTTGAACCAAAAAAGATGTGTTTTTTTAATCTTGATTACTGGAATTTGTTTCAATCTTATTGTCAGTCTAACTGACATCAGTCATTTGTGCTCAAAAAATGTCATGTAAGAATTAACAACTCTTCTAATCGAACGCTTGAATCAGTTTCCTGAGCTCATCTAATGACCTCAGACTAAATGTACATGGCAACTTGAACACAAGAGGAAAGGGGTGAAATATGGAAAGAACGCTTTACTCCAACATTTATTTATAACCAGAAAATCGAGGGTATTTATAATATTTCAGATTGTCTCAGGATTGTGGAAGTTCCTAGAACCACATTAAATGTAGTAGTAGGATAGGTAGTTACCCAGTCAAACACATGATTCTGCACTTTCTAGATGCTTCCGATAAGCTTTTATTCAACGCTGATTGGATAAAATGTTTCTTAGCGTTAATAAGGTCACTCTGGACTCTATCGAGGAATCCTTTAAATCACTTCAACAAGAATCCGCCCAAACATTTAGCAGTGGTTTTAGTATATCTATTAAAGAACATTCAAGAAACACAAGGAATGATGATGATAATTATGATACTGATAATAGAATAATCGAATACAAACAAGTAATTGAGATTTATGTGAGAAAATCAGAGTTGAATGTATCATACTGACGACCAAATCATTCATTCCTTATTGAATTAGGTAACCATTTTAGCACTCTTGTCTGTCGACAATGTCTTGTTATACTAGGTTTTCAAGTACTTATACGAGTCAGAATTAGCTGGAATCATCATACTAATATAATTTTACATTCATCTTTCTCTGCTGATCCAGTCAATTTCGCTTACCACTGTTACATAATGAGATCAGAATGATACGGATTCACAGTTTATATGAATTGTAGTGAATAACTCGCTTAACTAACAAATAACAAGCTTAATAATTTTACAGAAAGAAATTCATCTTGATAATCAAAACTGAAAAGCATCTCATTGACTCTATGATGACAACAATGAGACATGTTGAAATATAGAAGCTTATTTACTTAGTGAATGTTCTGTCGACAGATTACTGTGGGAGAGAACAAACCAACTTCCAGTTGAGAGAGAAATTAAGAAAAGAAGTTGGAAAAGGATAAGAAATACGTTGCGGAAATCATCAAACTGGATCACGAGGAAAGCAATAACTTACAATCTTGAAGGCAAACAGTAAAGAGGAAGGCTAGTTAACACAATGCGTCGGCAATTGGAAGCAGACATGAAACGGATAAAAAGCAACTGGAAACAAGTGGAAATAAATGTTCGGGATAGAGTTGGATGAGGAATGCTGGTGGTTGGCCTATGCTCCTCCATGAGGCGTAGCAAGTGTAAGAAAGTAGGTAAGTAAATGTTATGAATCATTGTCTCTCTAAGATATCCATAACAGATTCATAAAATGACTAACGTCTGCTCTAATTGTGAAAATCAACCTCCCTAATGAATTTAAATGGACATTTTAAGTAGATACTTGAAGATAAGTGGTGGTTGGCCCATGCTACTCCATCAGGAGTAACAGGTGTAAGTAAGCACATAAGTAATCATTTGAATAGTTTGTATAAACAGTGTTGGTCGGTAAATAATATCAAAATAAGTATATCACCTGTAATTATATGGAAATAGATTGTTAAGAATAATATTGAAATTCAACTATAAAGGAAGACATGGGATGCACAGTCGCCGAATTAGTTTATAGCACAATATTAAAGTTACCTGTTCAACTGGACAACTATGAACCTACAACTCCAAGGGATTCTACTCGCTTCGTAAGCTGCTTACTACAAACGATGCAGAACATCAAAGCAATATCCCCACGAGAACATAACAATCGAGTTCAACTTGATAAACATCTTGAAACCTGTAAATTTGTTTTCGTTCGAGTTGACGCCGTAAAAAAGCCACTGAAATCACCATATAAAGGTCCCTATAAAGCACTCACAAGTACTTCATTATCAACAGAAATGGGAACAAGGAGACCATATCTATAGATAGAATAAAACCAGCTTTCTACAAAGCTAATCAAGTCAATGAAGTCAACGCTGACGATCAACAACACCTCCTATCAGTTACTGAAAAACCAATGGAGGAGGACAAACATAGCCTTAGACCTTGTTTAACATGCCTAAGGGTTATGTACATTTTGTAAACTAGCAAAATCAAAAAACATTCATTGTTATACATTACATGGTTAAGTTTACTCAATTTTCTTCACATATACTTATAATTAATTACATTACTTCACAACTACTTGTTTTGCCACGTTTACTTAATAATAAACGAGTGAACGGTAGTTAATTATTCATTAACTGTACTCAAGAACAAACAATCCAATTTTAAGTTCATGAGAATATTTTATATTACTAACGTTCAGGTCATACCTATCTTCACCATTATTTTCTTCCATTATTACTTTAAATATTATTTTTGCATACATGTATATACTGTAGACCATCAACTTTGATGATCTATGTTGAATGTTTGGAGGCCTACTCAAGTTAGACGGGAACGAACAAGCTAACTTCGAAGTCACACTTCGCGACCAGCACCTTACGTGGATTGCCCCATCGACGTATCAAGGAACCATGGATGCTCTGGAGGCTGTACAACACAAAGGACGTTACTACAAGAATATATTAGTTAAAGTAGATACAAGCGAAAGTAGAACCACTGCCACATGGACCAATCCATGACGTATGATTAACTGATGAGCGTTGGTTGTTTTTGACCTTGACGGGGATCGATGATCTGTTCGATATTTAGTGACCCAAGTGCAGGATGATTTGGCTAGAGTTCAGTGACATTTCACTGGTCCTACGATACCATATGCTTACAATTTCTTTTTGTTTGTTATAATAACCAGTGTTACCTCCGGACACTCTGTGGGGGGGAGCTATGTGAAGATAGGCCTATTAAACTTATTTTTGATA